CACACACACACACACACACACACACACACGCATATACAGGGTTTGAGCCGGACTCAGGATGAGATCGGCATTTCCGGAAAATAAACCCCCCTTTTTAAGGTAAGCTGTGAGGGATGTAAGGAGCAAAGGGCCCCACATTCTGCTTCAAGAAACAGATCCCTGGATCGGTATAACCGACGTTTTCTGATTTTTTTGTTTGATTGTTTTTGATTTTTTGATTTTTTGTTTGTGATGTTTTGCTTTGATTTTTTATTTTGATTTTTTTTGATTTTTTGATTTTTTTGACTGATTCTTTGTTTGTCATTCTACTTCTTGTCTCTTCCATCTCGTTTTTATGCGCCTTCCCGCGGACCCACCCGTCCGTTCCTCCCTAACTTAGGGTTGAACCCGTGAGCCTCCCCATTTTTACCAAATCGCTGTAAGGGGATTCGCTCTGTACGCGGCGTCGCTTTTTCTGTAGGAACCCAGGTTTTTACTGACAAAGTGTAGGTAGACGAATATAGGACCTCATTCCATTAGATAATGACGAACTTCAGCTTCTCGGATCCCATCGAAAAGATAGGGGGAACCGTGCGGGATTGCCCATGTTGTGCCCTCTTCTTTTCTTTTCTCTTCTCCCCTACCGTTTTCCCTTTCTGTTGTTTTCATATATACGTGTACTCCTGCCAATTATAGCATGCACATTGTTAGTCTGTCCTATATACGATTGACTGTACTTCTTCTACGGAGCGGAGCTTGCGTGGCAAKGTGACTGTTCGGCTATGGCGGAYTGGGACTTCACGACYGGAGCGGAGGAGGACCTTYYGATAACGYCGGAACCCGASGAGGTTTTCGCGGCGGAAGAAGCGGTACACGGTCCTCTATCTCCCTACTCGTATGGTTGTTTGGGGATTGGCTGTATGTGTCTGTCTGTGCAGTGGATGCGCTTTTTGCAGGAACATAACCCCTCTGATGAGCCGGTTGAGTGGCAACGACGAAAAAGCTTTTAGGGGAGCCACACCCCTCCTGCGGCGCTGAGCATCCCATGAAGTGCAAACCAAGCCCCCGCTTGCTTTCTCCTAGACGTTCTGCCATTTCGGACTTCGCCGCCCACCAGYTTCACATAGCTTCTCTAGTTTCTATCGAAGTAACTCTGAGTTCACTCTTCAGTGTTTCTTTGTAATCAAGACTCTGGATAGCAGGATACCCTGTTGGTTGTAATCGACTATTTGGCTCTATCTTCCTTGTTTTGTACCGCCAGGATTTGACGTGCTCCCGCATCTTTACTTTCTCTCCTTCTGACTCTCWCAGTCTTTGCTCACTATTGGCATGTTGGAATAGCATGTTGCCTCTGTCATTAACTGTCTTCTTTATATGTATGTATGCTCTGCCTACTTTACTATTCGGGTTTGGATTTGTGTACATGATCTTTTCTATTGATATGTATTCAATACCTATGGATGACACCGCTTCGTCATTCCTGCATTATTGAGGGTTATCTAGCTTGGTGGCTGTTGGACACGGTATGATTGGGACATGACCGTACCTGGCATGTCACCGTAATGGTGGAGTGCACGACGAAGTTCGTCGTGGGATCATATGCAAACACACACACACACACACACACACACACACACACACACACACACACACACACACACACACACACACACACACACACACATGCGTGGCAGTGTATATTTCCATGTTCCAGCGGTAGAATCATCCCGCCTCCCTGGTCTCTCCGACTTCATCCCGCCTCCCTCGTCTCTCCTACTTCATCCCGCCTCCCTCGTCTCTCCGACTCCATCCCGCCTCCCTCGTCTCTCCTACTTCATCCCGCCTCCCTCCCTTCTCCCTTCTCATCATGCTTGTTTCCGTTCTTCACTTCCCCCCTCCCTTGTCTTTCCACCATCCCTCGTTGGGCCATCTTCCATCTCCTCTTTTGTTCGTCGGACGATCTTCCATCAGGCTGTAATCGTGGATCCATTGCCGCTTCGATCCACAGTGTGGCAATCGTCCATCAGGCTGTAATCGAGGAACATGCGGAGCTTTCCTTCCTTATTTTTTTCGCCATTGCGCTCCGATCCACAGTGTGACAATATATCATATAATGTGTATCATGAATTTATGATATTATTTTATATATCATGGACTATCACTGTACGACGTAGAAAAAAAAAATAAAATCATGACCCCCCCGCGCGCGGCACGCGCACGCCCTAACGCACCGGCGCACTGCGCACTGGAGTGAAGCGCACCGCATAGCGCATCCCGCATTGCGCACGGATGCGCGCGCACTGCCAAGTGGCGCACGGCGCATTGCGCAGCGCAGCGCATCGCGCACCGCATCGGTGTGCCGCAAGTATGGACAATATATATATATATACACACACACACACACACACACAGAGAGAGAGAGAGAGAGAGAGAGAGAGAGAGAGAGAGAGAGAAACTTACCTGCCGATAGATGTTGCTGGTGCCCATAGCCGTGATCTTGAGAAACCTGTGTGTATCATTTCAAGTTGTAATTAAGTTCTGTGTGTGCTCATATCGAGTGGGTCTTGCGGTTGCGACTTCGATCTTGATCCGGACAAGCGGGATCCTTATAAAGTTATATAAACATCTGTTACCTTCCTAATTCAGGCGTTTATTCAGTTTGATAACGCCACCGATTTGGAGGCCGGCTGCTGGCCAAACGGGCAGAAATATTTTGGTGCCATTTCAGTTAAAATTCAGAAGGACAGAGGGCTGCAGTGGCTGTTGATTTATCAGGCAGTTCCAGTGAATGAACGCCAGGATCACAGCCAGAAGGGAAGCTGTGGACCAGAGGATTCCCCACTTTTGTAGGTTGTGTGATATGTGAAAAACTTCTGTGCACTTCTGTAATTCCTATACCTTGGATACATAATATTCTCTCTCTCTCTCTCTCTCTCTCTCTCTCTCTCTCTCTCTCTCTCTCTCTCTCTCTCTCTCTCTCTCTCTCTCTCTCTCTC